GAAGTGAGCCTTGGCAGCTGCCTGAAACCAAAACTAGTATTTCCATCATCTTATAGTCAGTAATTCCAGGGTGACTTCTAACACTAGTGAGAGAAGTGGTTAGTATGTTTAAGTAGAAATCTATCAAGCGAAGATGCTAAGTCAAATTTATTTTTAGTGGAACTCCTGATTGTCTTGTGGGGTTTCTGGAAGATTTTGAATTGCTAAGGGTAGCACATTTGATATATGTACATGAGTTATGAAGCATAATAGTAAAACAAACACAAATGAAGGCACCTCTAAACTGAATCTGTGAATCTCAACCTGCCTGACTCTACCCTCCAAATACAACTTAAAAAGAAATGTTTTCTCACCTATTCATGTAACTCCAAAAAAAAAAAAAAATCACTTGTTTTTTGAGCTCTATGAAAAGAGAGTATAAGACTTTCTGTAGTCTGGTCACTTCCTTTTTAAACTAAGTTTTGTTAAAAGTGTTCACTAATTTATATTCTTCTAAAATATTTTCTATTGGTAATATGAGGGTACTTCAAAAAACTCATCAAAAAACTGAATTAAAAGATAATATGAATATCAAACTTTCTGGACTCCTCATATGTGACATATTAAGATTTATTATAAATCTAAGGTAATTAAGATAGCATTATGTTAGAGATAGGTGAATTATCCAAGGAAACAGTATAGAGAGCCCAAAGATATAGTTATGCATATATGGAAACCTGATTTGTGATTAGAGGTAGCATTGCAGATTGTATATTCTCTGGCTCAAGCAATTTCTACAAGATAATAGTAGCACATGTATATAAAGGTCTGTGTTGAAGGATGTTCAGTACAGCATTGATTATAACAGCAAATGATTAAAAACAATCTAAATGTATGTCATTAGATTACTTAGAAACAAATATTAAAACACTCATTACATATACTAAGTTGTACATATATAATGGAAAACTATGCAACTGTTTAAAAGAAGAGAACAGGAGAAACCGGTCTTTATACACTGCACTTG